TCAATTAAGCAAGACAAAATAAAAAAATAAAAATCTAGGCAGATATAGAGTGTTGAGCTTACTTCCATTTCGAGTGGAAGTGTTGGTTGAAGAAATTAGAAGGTCGGTTTTACCAGAAGAGGACGGTTAAATCGCGTTGTACTGCAACCGTTTAGCTTTTATACCACCTTCAGATCGACCTCCATCGTTTCGAGTGAAAACGGGATTGGCTTTCGTTGATCATTTCTGTAAAAGTCTCACGTTAACACGAGGGCATCTTGCCTCTTATGTTAGACTAAATTAAGCAAATTATAATAAAATAATCTCTTTCTGAATGATGGACGAAAGCTCAGCCCGAAATGCAAAATGAAAGTCCTCCTAAAAATCACCAATTTTTCCCTCTTCACATTTTGACGAGGAATAGAGTGATTTGGTTAGTTTAAGTCATCTATTACTGCATAGGAATGTGTTCCTGTGTGTTTATCTGTCTTTATGTGTGGAAAACCAGCTGTGAAAGCTTAAAGAAATTGGCTTTACGGCCATCACCCATTCAGTATCATGACATTTTTAAACATTCATTCCTATTGCAGAATGTCGGATACACACACGTCTGCCTAAGTTGCTGAGCTGTTTGTCTGCGTGTGAAAGAGAAAAAGGATGAACTAAGGCGTATTGAAAGTGTGATTTCACTTGGAAGTCTTATCAACAAAAGACAAGTTGAGTCGCCTCCTTTTTCTCGACTGCTCAACATCCTCTCCATCCTTGAGTCTTTCCAAGCAGCAAAAGTAGTGCTGACTTTATTTTTTGCCTGTACTCATGACATACAATGCTTTGCCTAAATTGTTAATTTTATGTGAAGTCTTCACCCAATTTCGTTTAAGATGATGAAGGACTGGTAGTAGACTTTCCCCACAATGGTATGAGTAGAGCTGACGTTTCCATTAAATTGCACAGAGCCCTGTTTTCCCAAAATTTGTTCTCATCCCGGCTGAAGTGGACTACAGTTTCGACCTTGCCTCGTCTGGTTCTTATCAACACCCCCAGCGGGAGTCGAACCGTGACAGTGCAGCATGTCAGCTTGACATGTTAACCACTACGCCCTCATGTCACGGGGCCGATGTGAATTTAAATAAAGGTCAGGTTTTTTCCATATGCTGTTCTGTGGTGTGACTTCCGATGAAGCAAACATACTTTTGCTATGACAATCGACCATACTACTTATTTTTCGTATATGAGTAGAGCTTCGAGACGACCAGTAAATCAGTAATATCCGATTTTTTTAGCCTGTTTTGTGTAATCCGATGAAGGAGTATTGTTGGGGTTGTTGAAAAGACCGAGGTGAGGTAGAAACTGCAGTCCACTGGTGCCTAGTTTGATTAAAACTTTTGGGGAAGCAAGGCTCTGTGAAATTCAATGAAAACGTCAGCTCTACTCGTAGCATTGTGGGAAAATTCTTCTTCTACCAGTCCTTCATCACCTCAAACGAAATAGGCTGAATACGTCTCATATTTGTTAAGCTGACTTCCATTTCGAGTGAAAGTGTTGGGTAAAGAGTTTTGGAGGTCGCTTCCATCAGAAGACGACAGGATTCCTCTTGACCAGTTGTTGATTGGCTTTACTGGAGCATTCTTGCTGACGCTGTCTCCTTCGATTCCGGTGAAAAGGTGGTAAGCTTTCGTGCGTCATATGACGGACATCATCAGAGCAAGGTATCATCGTTGCAACCAAATTCAAGCTAACGAGTCAAGAAAACTTTCCGACAAATTCCTAAAAAGTGGTATATAAACTCTACATCTGGCCTCTTTGATCAAGTTTAAAGTGATTTGGTTAGTTAAGGTTATATGTCAACTTCGATGCATGTGAGTGTGTCTGTCTCTCTGGCACATATACAGAGACAGACACACTCACAAGCATCGAAGTTGACATAACCAAATCACTTTAAACTTGATCAAAGAGGCCAGATTTCAGAGTATATATACCACTTTTTAGGGATTTTCCGGTGAGTTTTCTTGACTCGTTAGCGTGAATTTGTTTGTGACGATGATACCTTGCTCTGATAATGTTCGTCATATGACGCACGCAGGCTTAGCACCTTTTCAATGTAATCGAAGGAGATTGCCTCGGAAACAGCGCCAGCATGAATGTTCCAGTGAAGCCAATCAACAGCTGGTGAAGAGGAATCCACTGTTGTCTTCTGGTGGTGAAACCGACCTTCGAATGTCTTCACCCAACACTTTAACTCGAAATGGAAGTAGGCTCAACAATTATGAAAGAAGAGATTCCTCAAAATCCAACTTTTCTTCGCATACATTTCATATAACTGATCTACTGGTAGTCTCGAAACTGTGTTTATAGACGAAAAATAATTGGTTCATTACAATGACCTCCTTAATGTTGCGCTCAGCTGCAGACATAAGGATAGGTTTTATACCGTCTTATTGCATGTCTTGGCTCCGTCACATGTTCCGGTATCTCTGATTTATGCATCAAACAGGCTCTACAGACACTTTGGTCTTCAACCCATTGTCGAATGTGTCTACTCAGTAAGATGAGAAACTAATCAGACGGTTTCAACATGAAGGTGGCCACATGAACTGAGTATTTGAAAGCAACCTGATGCCGATGATGGAGCATTGTGAAATGTGAAAGTGACTGCCAGAAGAGGGCTCATTGTTGCGGTGGTCGGCCATCGCGAACTGGAGACAAACAGCAGAAGCATTCGAGTTGGCGATACCGAAACTTCCAGAAAATTGACGACAAGCCGGAAGAATGTGTAAACGCATCGAAGCCTAAACGGACATAACATGTACGTTGTGTATGCTTTTTTCCAGCTATCCATAATTTCAAGTCGGCCAACTCCGAGGTTGCCAGAAATATGGGCAACGATGAGCATCTGCCTGCCTGAGCCCCACGTGTCTAGGTTGGCTGGCATTTCCAACTGTATCGGCTCCATCTCAAGGGAAATATAACATATTTTTGGGCAAGATTTTACAGACTTATGCGGAGAGTATATCAGTCGCTTTTGGCAAATCTTATTGCGAAAAAGCTGGTGTGCTTCAGCTTTATTGCTTACAACCACGGTACTCCTTGACTTGACACTTGGTCGGAAAGATATTTTCTTCCATTTGATAGCCCTAAACATACCTGGACGAAAAATTCCCACGAGTCCGTTTAACTCTAGCCCTGTTATGTGCACACACTATCCCATCCTCAACTGGTATTTGTATCGTTTTGCATAACCGGTCAGTAAAATGAAAAACACATTATCTCTTCACTCGGCTTAACTGTGAATAAATGTGCTTGAAAGCGCGTTTTTGCCCCATTTTTGCACGACTAGGCCCATCCGGCTTACTGGTTTTTCCATCTCCCAGTCCTCGTTTGAGCAGTTGCCACGTCTACCGACTCATCACAACCGGCCAGTCGAACGAGCGGAATTCGTGTCCGATTCTACCTCCAATCAAAGCAGCAAACGCGCTTACCTCTGGCCTCGACGACTCCTCATGAGGACATGTGAAGGCCGGTTGGTACAGAATGGTTTCAATTAAATAACTCACCATTAAGCCTCCCTTTTTCGCCCGGTCACGGAGCCGTGGGGAGTCAGACCGGGAAACTGCCCAATCCACAATACTCCCCGGCGCGGAATGTCATCCGGCAAAGTGGGCAGAGGATGGATGTGCTGCACAGCGGCAGAATGGGGTTGTCGCCAATTGTGACATTGAATCAAGGAACAATTTGTTCTTTTTCCAGCCTCTTCTGGCTCCTTGTCTGGCCACAGTTCTGGCTGGCGGAATAACGCTGCAGGAAGAGACAATGCAGCCACGGATTCACCCTCAATTGGGGAAAGTTTGCCAAAACTGGGCACTCGTGATGGGAAGGTACAATCAGAAATTCACAATAACTGG